AGTTTTATTGATGCTTCACTATATAAATTTAATATTACTAATGGAGTTAAGTATACCTTCACAATTGTCACAAACTGCCAATGCTAGGTCATGGGATTAATATTTAACAAACATTCTTCAACTAATTCAAACAAAATCTACTAAACACTTGAGTTATAAGTAGGACAATAACAACACTATAACTTCCATCATTGTCCACGTATAAAATACAAAATATTTGATTTAGTGTTATTTTGTTTTTCCACTATTATAATACATAGTTTATCCAAAGAGCTCCTTGCTCAATGGATTGTATCAAATGGTAAGTTTATGAGGTTTAGTATGATATTCAATATGCTAATCCTCCAAAAATGCCTACAAATCCACTTAATATTCCTCTAGATTTTGGCCTATCAACCAAAAAACCTTAATTAACTACTTTCTATCTTTCTAAGGATAATGTGAAGTCGAAGTGTATAATACCATATATTAATATTAGTGTAATGGGGCCATTGGATTTATTTTAATCTGGACCATTATATAATCTAAGGTTTTTGGCTTAATCAGATATATACATTTTTGTATTCCATTTTTATATTTTATGCATCCACATAAAAGAAAAATTTATTGCATGTTGCATACAACAACGCTTAGTTTGTTTAATTAGTGTTATTTCTATTTATTAATCTAATTGATCAAATAGAGGTTTATAATTATAAACATATTTATGATTTATAAACACAAGATTAATCTTATTAAAAATCAACCATTAGATGGCAGAATAAACTAGAATATACTAGGAAATGTTTAGAAGACTTTATAAATTATAAATACAAAATTAATCTAAATGAATAACTAGTATAATATTCTAGAATATCCAAGCATATTTTAAATATATTCACTACCCGCCACACTCGCAAGCCTGTGCATGGATCTCCATCCCTCTCTCCAGAGCCGCGGCTTTCACCACCTTTCTACTGATCTCCTGGCCCTTCTCTCGCATGCCACAGCTCGAGCAGGCCTTGAGCGCCACTACGAAGCACCCCGAGTTGGGATCACACCCCTGCCTCCGCTGGATCCCCGCCAAGATCTCCAGCGCGAGCTCCCCCTGCCCCTGCCGGGCATAGCCGAGCAGCAGCGACGTCCACGCCACTTCGTTGTGGCAAACCATCCGGTCAAAGACGCGGTGAGGCTGCCACATCGCGCGTACATGTAGCGCGCTGGAGACGAAGAGATTCGTGTTGCTGCTGCCGTCGATCGCCTCCGCGTGGAGTGAGCCTCCTCCCGCGCTCCAGCTCCACGGGGCTGCAACACGATCTCAGCGCCGCGAAACACTCCGGGACCTCACCTTGCTGGGCCGGAGCTCCATCGCAATCCCAGTCCCCGCCCGGCATTCGTTCCCGCCCGATCGATGGAAGAAAATGCGAAGAACTTGACTGCCCTAAATTCTGGACGAATATTCCAAGCTTCTAAACCGTATTCAAGTAAAACGGTCCCATAGTTAAGTATGCTAAGAAAAAAATTAATTTTTATTAATAGTATTATTTATATTTTAATTTAGGAGTCATTAAAGAAAACCTTTAAAGGAATATCCTCTATAAAAGGCTAAAGCCTCTCAACCCTAAACCTCAAACCGATGGCGTTCTTTGGCAGGGAAAAGGAGCTGGATGCGTTATCACAGTTGGTAGGCGCCGAGCGAGTTGTGTTGGTCTTGGGCCCAAAGAACTCTGGCAAGACGGCACTTCTCCAGAAATTCCGGGCTACGAGTGAGCTCCCAATTTTTCTCCTGGACATGCGGATGGATATCGAGGACCAGGTATTGCAATGGCAGGCTGGAGTAGAAAAATTTCTAGTGCAAGGCTTAGATGCTGTGCTTAGGGAGCTGGGGTTGGCACGCAGGAAGAAAGGAAAGAAAGCCCCAGTTTTCATTCTAGATTGTGCTCACAAGATCAAAGCTCTTCCTGGAGCAGCAGAGCTTTTTAGAAATCTCTTAAGGATTGCACAGGACAAGATTGCGACGATCATCATGGCATCTTGGGACGATTCCTTGCGGGAGGATTGGATTGGGGATAGATTTACGGAGCTTATTTATGTAGATCACTTCAGTGAAGCGCAGGCCAGGGAATTTTTTAGTGGTTTACTAGTTAGTCAAGTGAGTAGTAGCAGCGGTAGCCCGGGACATGGATGGTGGCGGCGATGGTGGAGGTGGAGTTGCGGTAATCCTCTTCCCCCTCCAGCAGCTCCACCTCGAGTTCTTTCTTTGAATGACAAAGAGTGGGGCAAGATCTATCGAGTTTGCGGCGGCTGTCCATTGCTGTTAAAGCGTTGCGCAAATCAAGTGTTCTCCGTAAACATCATGCCACTGGACAACTCTCTTGGCACCATGGCCGCATCGGTGGCATCTCTTGTTTCTTTTGGATTGGAAGGCGACGATCAAGGGTAAGAAGCTAGATCTTCACTGTTATTGTTTTCTGGAGCTCTTGTTTGAATTGCTTAAGGTGGGATGTCGAGATGTTTAAGCGAGTGATGGAGCTCTTGGTGGACAGGGATGGAGCCGTGGAATGGGCGACTGTTTGTAGCAAAGTGTTTGGCGGTGACGAGGGAGCTTGCAAGGCTCAGCTCAAGGCCATGGCAGCAAACGGCGTCATCCATATCAAGTGCGTGCCTAGTGAATCGATTAAGATGGTGGAGCCGATTTCTCCTCCCCATCTCCAGGCAATGAGAGACGAGCTGGAGCACTCCGGCTACGACAGTGACGACGACGATTAAGCCTGTTTTGATGTTCGGGGATCTCATGTTTCTTCGTGTATCTTTTCTTCCAGAAGTAATAAGCCACATTCTCGATTCAAAACCTTCCAGCGATTGACAGCTTCTTCTTGACTACATTACTCGAAGAAATTCTCCACTGGTCGCTGGACAGTCACCATTCTCCTCTTTCTTTCATTTTCTTCAAAGTATGGCTGGTTGGTCCAGCCAACGAAAGCCTCTACCACTCCTAGAACCAAAGAAGAAAGCTATTCTATATGATCTACTCTTCCTTGTCTCTCTCCAACTTCTTCACAGATTCCAGGAGGAGCTGGTTCCACATATCCACAGGCCCCGGCAAGCACCAATGCAAGCAATCGTTTTGGACGTGGCGGCCGGGCTCTTTCGCGTACGGCTGGTATATCCTGTATGGCCCAGGGTGGCCGTCGGGCCGGAGGTAGGCGCTGTACGTCACGTCCAGCACCCGGAGCCTGGAGCCGTTGGATGGGTCAAACTTCCGGGCCTCGTCGCGCTGCACACGGTTGAGATTGCTCGGCAGCCACGGCAGCTCCAACTCACCGCCGCCGCCGTGTACGGCATCGCGTACGGAGTGCGTCGGCCGCGTACGGTTGCACTTCCCCCCGGTGCTCCACGTCCCGTGCTCGAAGTGCTCCGGCGAGGCCGTACGGAGGAACGTGGTCCCATTGTAGCCGTCCAGCGTGGCGATGGCGCGGAGGGACGTACGGAATGCGAGCTCCATCGCCGTCAGGAAATGTACGTCGGTGTAGTTCTCGCGGGAGTACTCGTTGCAGCCGAAGATGGTGTTGTTGATTGAGTAGAGACTTGGGCGGAAGAACCACTGGGACGCGGACATGACCGCGAAATCGTAGCTCGCGAGCGATGGCCACCATGCCGGGTGTGGGACGTCTAAGTGGAGATTGAAGAGGAGTGGATCGTCGCGAACCTTGACGTGCTTGACAAGGAATGGCGACCAGACGATGGCGAGCGTAAAGTTGTAGGATTGGAAGCCCCATTTCACGTCCTTGTCCTCTCGCGAGTACACCTTGTCGGGTCTCTCCACCTTTTTTTTGGCGATCACATTGAAAAATTTCGATCAACTTCTAGTAAATCTTTCCCAAGAATCGAGATTCGAGGAACTCACCTGGGAGAGGGAGCAAAGGAGCGATTGCATGTGGTTCCTGGCGAGCGAGTCTCCGAAGAAGAGCATACTTTTGCCCCGCATGAGCTCGAGAAAGGTGGCGGGGTCGAATCGCGGGAGGTCGCAGTTGTGAGGTCGCCATCGCCAATGCAGGTAGCCCGTGTCGGGCTTGCCGTTTCTGAGGCAATTCTGGAGGAGCTGGATGTGATCGCAGCTGGAATTCGTGTAAAGAGGTGGTGTAGAATCGAAAATCCACTCGCCCTTGCTCAAATCGCAGCTTTCTATAGCACTTCCCCTGTTTTTAGTACCTGGAAAGGTTTTCCCAATTCAAATTACCTGAATTCGAGGAAGTATCTTGTTGTTGGGTGTCGAGATCGCTGCCTGGCAATGCGGGGAACTGGTGAATCTCGTCGGAAATCGAGGAGTTTTGGAGATCTGGGAGAATTGGAGCTCCAACGGGCGCAGAGAGCTGGGAATTCTCGCTGCCACGGACAAAGACAAAGTAAATGAAGCAGCTGTTAAGCAAGACGAGGGGCAACAGCGCAATTGGGAGCCAGAATCGGATGTTCTTGTTGTTGGAGTAGAACTTGTGATGCCACAAGAGGCTTCCAATCTCCGAGGAGATCGATTGAGCAGAAGAATTGTTGCTGGTGGCCTTTGCAGAGGGTGAATCCCCAAATCCCTGGAGCAGCACTGTCATCTTGGATTCAAACACAAATCTCGGAGACTGAGCAGCAGCAGCAGCAGCAGTATGATCATGATCGTGAGCAGAGGAATTGGAATTGAGCCTCTTGAGCATTGGAAGAAATGCGAGCTCCACCAATGTGAAGGCCTAGAGAAGGAGAAACAAGAGAGAAAGAAGAAGGCCAAGCAACCACAACTTGTGGTGACATGATTCTCTTGCAGAGGTGTGTTAGATGCTGCATTGCAATCAAGTAATAGCGCCACTATACTTCCTTGCAAACTGAGGCATACTGTGGCATGTAGGCTAATAAAATTTTGGATTTTGGTGAGTGAAGAGGAGAAGGCCCTATAGTCAGTCAGTCACTTACTTTGTAAACAAGCACACTGCTATAGCCTGCTATACCTCTGCTCCAAGTCATCATACACACAGGGAAATTGGTTGGGGTTGTGAAAGTGATGCTTGGAGAAATCCCTTGCACAAGGAAAAAAGAGGGAAAAGAAGAAGAAAATACACTCCACAATGACTCTAAGTGCAAGCATGTATAGACAAATTTTCAAAATGGTAGGACTTGGACAACACACCTGCTGTTTCTTCCATACTCTGCTTTAGAAGAGAGAGAGAGATACCAAAGGGAGAGGGCCATGTTGGGTCATACATACAAGCTGCACTACCTAACCCCACCTAGCAAGAGATGTCTCTATCATAAGATTAATATTAGAAATTATAAAACATTAGACAATTTGCAAATTACAAAACCTTTAGAAAAGGTTCATGTGTAATAATCTAATATTTCTATATGGGAATAAAACCATCTTTAGTGACTAATGGATGTCGTTGAACAGACACTTAGTGGCATCCAAGTTCTCTGCAAATACCAAATTGACATCACTTAGTTCTGCAGCATCTTCAGAAAGATCCTTTCACACTTGTATAGACTGCATAGCCAATCAAGAGCGGATTCTGACACTAATTTTCGGATCTCCATCCCTCGCAACATTGTCTCCACCAAGTACAGATGCCCATTCTGGGCTTAAGCTGCAACCATTGTGTTGTGTGGCATCGCCAACCGTTTGAAGATGAGGCGAGGATTGCAGTGCTTGCACTAGGCACAACCTGGACTCAATGCCTGCGAGGAATCTGGTCTCTCGGAATGTCTCGATAGGAGCTTACAATCGGCCGCATCCGGCTTGGAAGGATTAGATCTCGTTCACATTGGATTTTCATGCTCACCACTCGGACATCCTATGAATAACTCAATCCATAGCTCATCTTGAGAATTTCAATTGTGCTAGTCATATAGTTCATCACAATTATGATCTGATGGGCATTAGCCTCAGTCAGGGCCTATCAATCACACCCAGAGGTTTGCTATATCTAGGTCTGTGAGTTACCATGCTGCGGTGTTGTGATGATCTTTGTCTATGATCCAAAGAAGCTCATGAAACTAGCTAGGAGATCAGATCACGGTCTGTCAAGAAGGTGTTTAAGGCCATCCACTTGCTAGGTATGGTAGAAATTTCTTTACGCCTATCAAATCTGTCATGGTGCACTACTCTCACATTGCCTTTCTTATGTCACATTCATGTATGTGTGGCAATCACAAAAGGTAAAAATATCTCTCGTTGTTTCTTCCTTGTCAAGGATGCCTAGAGCAACCACCCTACTGGCTCTTGAGGAGCTGGGTGCCCATACATCCTGCCAGCCTTGGCCATGGCAGCAACAAGGCTGTCAATGCCTATAGAAAAATATTGCCCAATTCCCTTTGCGCACGATAGAGCTGCTATCAGGAGTGAGAGGGGGAGGAAAGGAGAAGAGAAGAGAGGAGAGGGGAGGGGGAGGAAGAGGTGTGGGAGAGAGAGAGGAGAGGGAGGGGAGAGGTAGAAGTAAAAATTCATTTTAAGTGTTTATTATAACATATTAACCACTTAGATTAATAATATCACTAGAAAAATATTTGAATTATCTCTTAAACTAATTTTAATTTTTTATTTTATCAATTGATCTCTAATCAATTTATTCTGATTTTAATAAAATTTATTATGATGACATAAGGAGTTAAAATCTCTATAACTTTTTGTGATGCTAATTGAACAGTTCAAATTTGAATTAAAAATTTTAATGAATTGAACTTAATTGAATTCAAAGTAAAAAAATTAATTTGAATTCCAAAAATATTGAATCCACCTGACGTATGTTATCATTTTTTCATTTTCCAGAGGAAGGATAGTGTAAGGTCTTTAAATACATACATGTATATGGTGCTAATTTTTGTAATATAGCATATTAACTATCCATTTCAGACTGAATCTAGTCTATCTATTTTTCTATATAAGCAAGGTTCTAAACCCAAATTAATATATTTATCCCATATCTTAAGCACTCATAATAAGAAATATTACTAAATTCATTAAGCTATATATACTAGAGTTGAAATGAAAGGATATAAGTCTTTAGTCAACTATCTTAAATATATAAACTATTTGGCATAATGTATTTTAAAATATATCTTTATCATTAGTTAACAAGTTTAAATTAATGGTAAATATATCATTTTATACAATTAGGATGATTTTGTGTTCCTGTAGACCACCAAACATGATTTGGTGATTTTAGTGAATAAATTACAAGATTACAGTCATCTTGTATTGTCATGAATGTAAGAAATAAACAATAAGGTTGATTAATGCAATATTTATCACTAGACCAAATTACTGTTTTAAATTTTGAATTTAATACAAGATTACCATCATTTTGTAAAGTAAGTTCACAAAATCCAATATATGTTTTTATAACTCTAGATATCCACACAAGTTTTTTACCAGAATATAATACAAGTTTACAGTTTGTTGATATAAAAAGTATATTTTTCCCATTTGGAGATATTAAATATTCAGAATTTCTTAAGCTATGCTTATAAAAACCTGAAATTAATGTACTTTTTGTAGTATCACAAGTTTTAGGATCTTTATAAGAAATGGTATGTAAAGATTTTGAACTGTAAATATCATCAGTAATATTCCACCAATAATATATAGCATATGCAATTCTATAGTTTAAAGAATTAATATCACACATACTAGAGCGTGCTTTTAGCATTGCATCAGTATAAATATTTCTTAACGACCGAAATCCACTTCTAAGTGCACGACCATTAACTGTATATTCAAATTTATCCTTACCAAATAAACAATTTGGAGGATTTGCTTCCATACGATTTATCATTAAAAGAGCAGCTCCTCTACCAAAATTAACAGACATCCAATTGTCATAAGTAGAAGAATAATCAGGAAATGAATTATTAATTTGTGCTTCAAGTACTCTAAATCCACGTTCAATAATTATATCAACTTCATCTTGAAGTAATGTGTAATTATCTCCCCAAACTATTGCACTTGAAACCATATCTACAAAAAATAGGATTATAAATGCTAAAAATAACATATTTAATATTTTTAAATAAAATCATTTTATAGTGGTTTTAATTATTTTCTTTTATCTAGTAAATTAGTAATAGTATCTCTCTTTTAAAAATATTATCTTCTGTTTAAAGTTGTATATACATTTGTAGACACATTGTATGTACTATGTTAAATTTAATATTGACTATTCATTATGCAAGCAACAGTAACCAAGACTCCTCCCAGGTCATGCATGACACACAGATCTACTGAATATCTCAAGATACCTGCGACACCTCCTTGATCATGCCAAGTACTAGACTCTACTGTGAATATTCCCTTTTGACCTTTACTAAAGAAAAAATGTGTAATATTCTCCACCTTAAAATATCAAACTCTGCGGCCTTGGAAAGCTTCTTGATAAACTCTTTATTGCTGCACAATTGAAAGGTACTCATCTTCAAAAGTGAAAACAATTGATTGCTTCAGATTTGAGTTGGCTACAAATGTTTTGCAAGACTGGTCTTGGCCATCCATATTGGTTGTAAAACTGGACATCCAAGGCATTGCTATTCAGGTGCAGTGCCAAGTGGAACTTTCACTGTACTCCTCTTGTATGTTACAAAATTCAAGACAACTAATGAGGAATTCAATTTCCAATGCTTTTGCAGCAAATTCTTCGTGTAGTTTGGTCACTTGTAAAGCCATGCAGTCTTAACACTCCCAGCTGCACAAACTCACTGCCACTAGGTCCAAGCATGGCTGCGTTCCAGACACCACTTACCTGACCCAGTTCAATTTTGCCAGGGAGCTTGATGAACTTGGAATATGAACCCATAATTATTTCTCTTCCTCTTTCCTTTAGTCCTTGAAAGATTTCCTTAGCTTTGTCACAGCTTCACTCACAAACTCGAGCCACAGTTTCGGTCAATCCATTACTCCTGCTGCTATTGCATCGCTCTTCTTTTTAAGAGAGACCAGACCACCTTTTCATCCATCCTTGAGCATTTGCTTCCCTAGAGAGCTTTGGTAATGCTTGTCATCTACTCCATCTGTAAGAGACCTCCCTCTAAATTTTGGAGCCTGGATTCTCGATCAAGACTTGGTTGTGGTTTCTTGTCGATGTGTTCTATGTTGATCTGTTTGTGTATCCTTGTGGATCAGCAAACTGGAGCTTGTTGTCAAGGGCTAGAGTGTGCTCTAAACGGAGACAAAATCAAAATCATGGGTTTTTCTTTTGTTTTAGACTAAATGTGATTAATTAGCGGGGGATTAGTAATAATCCTAGGGCTATGACCCTTTGTGAGGGGAGAGATGAAATACAAAAGAATGCTTGATAAAAAGTAAAGAACAAGTAGTAGTGTGATGGAGAACAATGATGGCACTGTCGAAGAGGCCAGTGCTAAGGAGGACAAACCTCTAGACAGCCATGGTGACAATTAGCATCGGAGCGTGAGGAGGTTCAAGTCCCTAAGCAGCAATGGTTTCTTTGTGCTTGCTCGTCTTGGTATTTGTGGAGTTCCCCTCCACACTTGTTTGCTATCCTTACATCACTGAACACCTCTTTGCAAACTCCCCTTGCGAACTTAATCCTGTCTCATCTAGATGCAGCAAGACAAGCCATCATGGCCTTCTTCTCGCAAGCTTCTTAGTCTTCTGTGCTATATTTAAAATTTGGGACAAACGCTTTCACCAGGGGGAGTGGTAAGCCTTTGAGGCAGTGATTGAACAACCTTTCATAGTAGCAGCCTAGAAAAAACAAAGTGAGTAGGTGCTCCCATGCAATTTCTAATGCTTATGTACCTTGCATTGTGAAGTAATTTGTTTTTCACAGTACTGCCATGCATGGCTCCAGCTTGCCTCATCCTTGAATGCCAAAATGAATGGACCTTTTGAAGGATCATCATCACTTCCAGTAGGAATTGGTACTCGTAACACTGGAAGGACCGGCTCAAATGCAATCATTGTTGCTGAGTGCAATAAGTCTGTGCTGTGTGCACTCACTAGATCTTCCTTGGCTGCAAACAGTTTTTCATTAGGACAAGAGAAACAAAAGAAAGAAGAATAAAAATGCTGCTCCTTCAACTTGGTAAATTTAGACGATAGGCCATTGAAAATCTGTATATATTCATGCCTCAGAATCTATTAAGAACTTTCTAGAAGTTATGTGTGACAAAGATGAAGCTCCACTAGGAACACACCTTCAGACCTAAGCAGCAAGTGAATTAAGGAAAACCCTACCTTTGAGGTGATTTAACCATCAGAATTTTATTTCTTTGTGAGTCCTTCGGTGTTGCACCATTGATGAATATTAGCTTGGTGCTAAAGATGAAAATGGTAATTCATGATAGGGTCTTTATAAAATGGTTTAGCATTTGACGAGGATATTAAATAGGTGGTGGAGTTGTATGACACAAATCCTTATGCCCCAAAGTGGAGCTGGAAGAGTGTCATGTGGCAATGGTTGAAGCAAAAATCTAATAAAGGTAACACGTTTGGACCAAAAACTCCAACTCGGAAAGTCAAGAGTGAGAGTGGAATTTCTAAAGAAGTGTTCAAGGAATAAGTATAAAATGATTGGTAAATGAGTCTCTAAAAAAGGATACAAGAGGGACCGATATATGGCAAGTGTCATGACACAAGGAAGTGTCAGGATTAATTCCAAGATGGAGTCTGAGATGGAGTCCGAGAAGGAATCCAAGATGGAGTTTGAGATGGAGTCTGAGAAGAAGTCCCAGATAGGGACCGATACTAAGACTGAGATTGAGACCAAGACCAAGTCCGAGACCGAGACTGAGACCGAGTTCGAGTCCAAGTCCAAGAGTGAAATCCCAAAACAATTGTCTCCCAAACTAAAGGGTTTGAGCTCCAAAAGGATATAGAGGGAAGACTCTAGTGGAACTAATTTGGCCAAGAAAGGCTAATGTGACCAAAGCTTTAACTTCCTCTTCCAAGTGGCTTTGAGGTGACACTAAAGTTGTACCCACGTGGTGGGTGATGATATAACCATTGAAGAGTCTAAGGCTAGAGTGAACACGGATGGACAAGTGGGACAATTTGGTGAAATGTTCAAGAGTCAACTCTAGCTCTCTTAGGAAATCGAATAGTCAATGATCCCAATCCAATTATGGGTGGCATTACCTACTTAGATACCTAATGTAGCTTATCGGAACCTTGTTCTAGCCATATGGCTAGAGCACTAATAGTGGAAGGTAGAGAGAGTACCCATAAGACTCAAGTAGGGCTATAGTGTTTTGCAATGTCGTTCTAATATCTCAAACTATAGAAAAGAAAATGAATAGTCCTCTTGTGTAGTGACCAAAGATATAGTCATATGGTGAGGAAGTTCAAGAGGTCAATGGGACTTAGTGGTTGGACCTTCAAGCATTCAAACATTGACTTAGTGGCAGTGTTGGTGAGCACAATTGTGGATGGAAAGGGATTTAGTGGGGATTGAAGAAGGGACATTAGGAAAAAGTGTTGTTTATATCTTTAGGCATTTTAAGGATGCTAAGGTACAATCTTGGGATGACCACTCATTTACAGATAGCCCAGCCTTTAAGAGATGGGATTATGGCATAGGTGGTTTTGAACTACCAATGAGACAAAGATAAATGGATATAGCTTTAATGGGTTGAAATGTTAATAATACCTTTGGGGTGTCTGTTATAAGATTGGACACATGGAGCACTTGGATCAAGTGCAAAGGCTAAGTGGCAAAAATGCCATTCACAGGGCTAATATATCCTTAAGTGGGGAATATGACTTGTAAAGGTTATGACTAAAACTCTTCCAAATAGTTTAATGTGTGGTTAAGTGACTAGAATAGAATAAAAAATTTAGTCACTTAGGCTCCACTTCTTCCAACAGATAACTTGCCAAAGAGTTTTGATTGGAGGGAGCATGGTGCAATGACCCCTGTGAAGAACCAGGTAAGTCCTTTTTCTATATGATCTTAAATCTCACATTTAAAAGTTCCAGGGAAGTTGTGGCTCTTGCTGGACTTTTAGCAGCACAGGAGCAGTGGAAGGTGCCCACTTTCTAAAGTCTAGAGAGCTTATTAGCCTGAGGGAGGAGCAGCTGGTTGACTGTGATCGCATGGTAATTCATTTTTCATAACTTGATCTGAATATGGTCATGCTGATCCATGATTACTTGGAACCAGGATGGTGGCTGCAAAGGTGGTGACATGTTAAATGCCTACGAGTATATCAAAGCCAAGGGTCTTGAAGCTGAGGAAGATTATCCTTACCAAGAAGAAAACTACAAGGAGTATATGTTTCCCCATCACCGATGCCACTTCCGCCCAAGCAAGGTGGCTGCCACCATTGCAAACTACTCGACAGTGTCTGAGGATGAGGACCAGATTGCTGCAAATCTCGTGAAAAATGGGCCTCTTTCGAGTAAGTAGTGTGTTGCTCTTTGGCAAAAGTTGACAAGAAAATGTTGTTTCCAATGTGGTCTTTGCAGTTGCGCTCAATGCCAATTACATAATGGATTATATGGGTGGAGTAGCTTGCCCTCGCATTTGCCCGGGTGGGGACAACATGAACCATGCGGTGCTCCTTGTTGGCTATGGCATGGATGGTGATAAGCCCTACTGGATCCTCAAGAATTCTTGGAGCGAGAACTATGGTGAAGATGGTTATTTTAGGTTGTGTCGAGGGTTTGGTGTCTGTGGCATGAACACCAGAGTCTCTACTGTTTCTGCATAGTAGTTACTAGGTATTTAATCCAAAAATTTAATATGAACACGTTGTCATAACTATTTTACATGTAGTAAAATTTTATTCTTTTTAAAATTTAGAAACTCCTTGAATTATAGCATCTTTTAGAGAAGTAACATTGGGTCTTTTCATAAAGAACATTGCAAACAAAAAATGGAGAGCTTCAAGGAATGACTTGTCCCGACAAGCAGGCGCCAACGCAAAGAAGAGATAACCAGTTATAAATCCTCTAAAACCCAATCCCTTTTATCACGTAAGCATTTAGGGCGTGGCAAAAGACTAGGGGGAGTGTAGCGATGAGGAGAGATCCGGAAGGACTGTTAGTGGCGATGGCGAGCTCCATTCCATCTCCCAGCTTGAATCACAAGGCCAAAGATTGGTGGGAGGAGCTCAATCGCTCTAAATCCTGGCAAGACGGGGTTTTCTACGCACTGGCTGCTCTATATGCCGCCATCGCCATTGTAGCTCTTGTAAGTTCTCCATTTTCTTTCCTTTGTGGGTCTCACTGTTCTCGGCTGTCTAGGTGCAACTCATCCGGATCCACAGGAGGGTTCGCGACTATGGCTGGACGACTCAAAAGGTGTTCCATTTGCTCAATTTTCTCGTATGCGCTGGTAAGTTTCTACCATAGCCAAGGCTTCTTTCTCACGAATGCTTTACCTTTTCCTTGTAGTGCGAGCTAGCGTCTTCCTCTTTCGAAGGCCCGCTCAGCACGTCGGTCCTCACGTAAGTCTATCTTGAAAATCCAGTAGGAGATGGTTTTCAGTGCCTCAAAACCTTCTCTCTGTCTCCTTTTTTTTTTTTTTTTGGTGTTTGTGCAGATTCTCCAATCCTTTTTGCTGGACCTTCCCGGTTTGCTTTTCTTCTCGACTTACACACTGCTCGTTTTGTTCTGGGCCGAAATCTTCTATCAGGTTCAAGTGTATTGTCATTTTTCTTCTTTGTTCTTACAACTCTTTCTCGATCACAGGCTCTAAGTCTTCCCACCGAAAACTTGAGACCCTCGTTCCTGATCATCAACACGGCAATCTATGTTTTCCAGGTACCCTCCTGCTTTTCTTCATCTGTCATGAAACTAAAAATCTCGTCACAGATTGCGATATGGCTGATACAATGGTGGGATCCGATGCTTGTGTGGGACATTTTCTCCCGGGTCTTCTTCGCAGGCATGCTAAAATCTTTAAGTTTGTTCTTCTTCTCCTCGCTTACAATCGTCACTTTTCTTGCATTGCAGGAGTTTCTTTCGCGGGTGCCTTGGGCTTCCTCTTGTATGGAGGAAGGCTCTTCTTGATGCTACGAAGATTTCCCATCGAATCAAAGGGACGGAGAAAGAAGCTCCGTGAAGTTGGCTGCGTTACTGCCATTTGCTTTACGTGCTTCACTATTCGCTCTGTGGTGGTATGTATATCCTTTCGCTTTCGCAAGTTTTCTAGCAATGGCGCGTTTTTTTTTTTTCTTTTCGTTTGTTTGTTCGCAGGTGGCATGGTCTGCTTTCGACAAGAAGGCTGAGATTGATGTCCTCTATCATCCAATCTTGAACTTCCTGTACTTTTTGGTAAGTTCTAGTGTAGATGTTTCCAGTACAGTTTTAACTTTAATCATCTCTCATTTCCAGCTTGTGGAGATACTCCCGTCGGCTCTCGTGCTCTACATCTTACGCAAGCTCCCAGCAAAAAGAGCCACTTCCACCGCATACAAAGCAATTCGATGAGAAGAGAGTGTTTTTCTTCACAAGAACGAGAAGAAAAATCCGAGAAGAAAAACTCGAGAAGAAAGGATGGACGCGTGTGTACGTGTGTATATTTCAGTGACTTCTCTGGTAACACAACTTATGATTTTGCATCTTCTGCTACTTTATGTTGCCCTCTGGCTGGTTTATTTACTTGGAGAAGGCGAGAGCTCGAGTTGTAGCGTCGGTAATGGCAGTGACTAGCGAGCTCTCCTCCTCCATTCTCTTGGGATTGATTGCGTTGCAACGACGCCGGACTTCGCCATTCGCTTTGCTCTTGAGGCCGAGCTTGCTCATCTTCAACAGAGATCTCTGGAACCTCAGCTGGAACCTGTCGGGATCGCGCGCGAATGATCTCACGATGCTCTCGGTCTCGCTGTCGACTGTGAGCGCCGCGTCCGACGTGAGCAATCCATTCTTCGCGACTAGATTTGTGTAGTAACTGTTGTCGAAGTTAAACTCCGAGGCTCGGTCCAGTGTCACTCGATCCGTGGGTCTAGAGTTTTGTGGACACAGGCGCTGCAGCTCTGCTCGGTAGGAGGGGTTGAGGAGTGGATCCGGGCTGCCTCCAGAGAAGTTGTAGAGCCTGTTGGAAAAGAACTGGCACTGTGATCTACCAATAGTGTGACCACCTGTTTGAGCAAGTTGATAAGAAAATTTGTGGAGTAGAAAAAACTTCGGTACCTGATAAGTGGACGAGGTCCTCGACGGTGAGATTTTGCTGCACGAAGCTAGCCTTGAGCTGTGTCGCGTTGAAGAAAGGGGCCGGGAGAAGAGCATCAGCTTCCGACCTTCGTGATATTCTTCCATCGAGACGTCCTGTCGGCATAGCGAAGTCTGGAGCTCCAACCTGATCGTAAGCATGCAAGAGTGAGTGATGGAATGGAACTAAGAACTCTTTCTTACCAGGACAACTGCGTCCCTTCCGGCTAGAGCCACGATGTCCGCGCAGGAAACAACACCCGGACATACACGCTCCAGCCTTGTCTTGGCATCGTCAATGACATCAAATCCTCGAACCGAGTTCCTGTTCGGTAGACCTTCCTTTTCAATGACGGAGCCGTCCTCCGAAGCATCCAACAAGATGGATCCATCGCATCCCTGTAGTTACATCCAGGCAAGGAACCAATGCGAGTGTAATCAACGAAAGAAGAGCAATCATACTTGCACAAAGCAGTCGTGGAAGAACAAGCGAAGAAGTCCCGCTGGAACAGTCCGGTTCCTGCCGAAATGGGAAGTGACAACATCGCGAACAATGCGCTCCGCAGCAGGACAAGTTTTCTCGTAAAAGTTCTCCTCCACTTTGCCAAGAAGTTCCTGCTGAGAACTCACAATGGCAAATACAGAAGAAAACACCAAAAGTAGAGCGCTTGAGCATCGTGACGCCATAGCTTATCTTCTTCCAAGCTTTTCCTGTAAGACAAAAAGAAACATCAAACATCAGCTTTATATACGAGCCTGAGCGTCACAGGAAAACGTCCTACCTCATTAAATGAAGAACGCGACTGGCTACCATTTGATTTCTGAAAAAGAAGAAACGAGAAAATATTACATGAGCAGCCAACTTAAACGCAACCTCCTATACACCCGAAGAGCTCTCAAATCACGCTCTTGAATAATCAATCGAAAGAAAATAGCCAAGAGCGTTTCTCAAAAGAAGAAGAAAAAAATTCGCTATGCTACTCATTGACCCGCATATAAGATGGCTCCGTAACTCGTCTGTAAAGGCCAGTGACTTTGCCTATCACATACTCCACACCCCACTGCAGTAACAATGTTTCGTCAGAGGACATCAATGCACCCATTCAATAACATAACAAACCTGAATGTTCGAGGGAATAGACCTCCAAAAGTCCATGTGAGGAATCGCCTAGAGACCAATTCAAGCCACCGCTTTATGCAATGCCATAGACGAGACAAAGAATTACCTCCACACCGACGATGCCAAGCGCTTTTCTTCGATAAATTGTCGCTGCTATCATATACACAACTAGAAAGCACAGTAATCTACAGCAAAGAAAATCATCTGAGAACAATGAGCACAGAATAAAGCATACTTACACAATAAGCAACGTGCTAAACCACCCGAGGCCTCCGCCATCGAGGCGCGTCACCACAGGACACCCTGCCGGGTGTTTAAGAACTGCTGTCTGAAAATGCAAATGTCAAACACAAAGTACGTTTAAGAGTAAAAAAAAAACGCATACGTAGTGGCAGCCATCTCCTGCAACCGAAGTTGGGAGCTGCAAAAGCAAAAACAAACAAAAACAAGTTAGAAGAAATTAAAAAACACTTTAAGGGACAGTGTTCTTGGACATGAATTAACCTCTTGTTGGCCAGTTCTCTTGCAGTAGACAGATACTGAGAAGGAACACGCGTCCTGAGAGGTATTGGCCACCATGTCGACGATCAGACCTTGCTCTGGTTTGCGCTTGTCTGAAGATTCGACAAGCAATCAGCTTTTACGTGTCAAGTATTGTAGCAAGCCACGTACCTATGAGTGAAAACGTCGTAGTCGATGGAAAACCTAAGGTCCTACACAGTGGAAATCCTGGAAGATAATGAAAGTTGCTAGCTCGAAGCACAAGGAAGATAAAAAAAAAGAACCAAGTACCGGAGTGTGTGACGGCCTCGAGAGCACTGCACGTCTCGCCACAGTGATCGGGTCCTCCGCAACTCTACTTCCATAAGGTTTAGTGAGCCTCCAATCCATCACAGGAAAACTTTTTTCTCTTGGTTACCTCGCATCTTTGGCAAATGGGAGGATCGTGATTGAATTTCATGTGCTCGCATAGCTAGAGAAAAACACAGCAACGAAAAGGAATCACGGGGTTATTTTTTTCTCGCTAAGAACAATGGAGCAAATTTTTTTTCTTCGTACCTGGAACCAAACGATTGTCTTGTCGCCGTTGGAATCCTTCTGGACCACTTTGTAAAACCTGGAAGGAGAAGAAGCACTCGATGAGAGAGTAACGCCTGGAAAGGAATGCCATACCCATCTTCGCTGCGCACTCCATGGACAAACCCGCGCAGCGGACCCGCGAGATTATAGCTGTAGCGATAGTTTTCAATGGCTGTTTCCCAAATGCAAGAATCTGCCCTCACCGAGCTCCTCCACAGCAATACCAGCATCGCGCTCGCGATCGCCACCAGAAAATCCATAGAAATCGATAGAGACGAGCAGCGCCAGGCCCACGCTCGCCCGCGCGCCCTAGCAAAGAGAACTCGCTGTGGACAATGGGAGCTAAACAACACAGCAAGGCAAAGGTTTCAAAAATTAAAAAAAATCTTTGTTAAGCAAAAAATTAAAAGCGTTTGGAGATGCCGGGTATCGATCCCGGTGCCTCTCGCATGCTAAGCGAGCGCTCTACCATCTGAGCTACATCCCCAACGTGAGAATTCTTTCAAAACTTTTTAATCATGACTTAAATCTTGGAGATTTTAAAGGAATCCATTATCCTTCTAAGATCGTCACCCTCCAATGCGAACGTTCTTTCGGGCGCTTGGAGTCTTAACTGGTAGAGTCGTTTGTTCTCCACGCCCAGCACCGAGATGTAGCGGCGATCCCACTCGATCTTCATGACGCGGTCTTGGGGAAGGATCGCCATCTGGTTGTTCGTGGCGAAAGATTTGGCGTTCACCTGCGATGGAGCGATCGAATCCATGGAGCTGTGAGCACAAATCTTTGACAAAAAGCTTGGCAAATCAACGACAAGAAGAAGAAACAAAAATTGGATCGTGGAAACAATGGAATGGCTTTCTGCAATGACAATCGAGGACGAGGGAGAATCGCGCAAGGAAAACCCCAGAAGAAAAGGCGAAGAAGTAGTCACTGGAGAAGATTGGAAGTATCATCAAAGAAGAAAAGCAAAAGAAAGAATCGATCGAGCTAAAGGGAGATGCTAGAGAAGATTGGAAGAATCATCAATGAAGATAGAAGATAGTGGTAGCAAAAGAAAGAATCGATTGAGCTCGAGGAGAAGAACTGAGAAGGCCAAGAACTCACCTCCACTTCGTAGAGGAGGCGGCCATCGCCATCCACTCTGGATCGCGACGAGAGAACGTTGATCTCCCTGCGAACTCCCAGCCTCGTAGACATGAACTCCGTCGACAGCTGCTTGAGCAATCCCTGCGCGGCATCCTGTGGCAATCCCAGCTCCTCGATCGATTGGTATCGCGAGCTCGACGGCGAGCTCACGTCCACCGTCACCGATTCATCCAGATTCACGGGGCTCCGGAAGAAGCAATCGGCGCCGGCGCCACGGACCTGGAACCACGATCCCGGATAGGAGAAGGAGTAGCCATCGAATGGATCCTCGAACACCTTAAACCCTAGCACCTCTCCTCCTTTCTCCGCTGCTAGCGCGAGATCTTGCTCTTGCAACCCGAGATTTCGATGGAGGATGGAGATCGCGAAGAATGTGGGAGGGAGAAGGATCGATCGGCGGGAAAATGGCGCTGGACCGCAAGAATCTCGACAAGAAGAAGAAGAAGAGGAGGAGCACCTGGGAGTGAAATGCGTCGCGTGTGCCCTGTGTGGCAATAACAAGAGTGAAGAGGCGGTCGCCATAGCCAGAGGCATATCCACGAAAGAAGAAGAAAATATCTCCTTTATAATGAAAAGTAAGCTGTCTCTAAATTATTCTGGTATATTCTAATTCTAAACATCACCGTTGGATTAAGATATAGACCATTTTAGGGTTCTAAAGGTAACAAAGACGATGAGCCTGTACAACTTTTATCTTCTCTTTTCACCTCGTTTATGTGCCTATAGGTGATCGATGGTCTGGGCCGGCTAGCATGAGAAGAAAACTTTAGGAGCAAACCAACAAGAAGAGAATCCTTACATTGCCAAACGCAAATCTTCGTGCCATGACTTTCAAGCGGATATCGTTTGTGAGAACTCATCGCTGTTTTCTGATTGTGAAGGATCCCGCAGATTTGGAACGCAATCTTATATAGCGAAAGCCCTTCAATGTAACATTTTTCTAGAATTCCAAGTTTGTGAATCACCTGTCTCTCTTTGTGCTGCTGGATGCGATGTGCAATATGTTTTGGGAGGATATAAAGCAAGAGTATCCAAATATGCCAGGAGGTGCTTTCAAACGGCCCTACAGGCGGACCAAGACTGAGATATGTACAATTAACAACAGGCCTACTCTTCTGCTCCAGGGGTTAAAAGAGAGCAAGAATTTGGTCACTTCTCGTAAGCGGTTTGAGGCCTTTAGGACGGAGTTGTGTATTTTCGTTGGAGCCTCTGGAAGCGGGAAGATTATGAGTTGGCCTCTGAAATATATATATAAATATATATATCTGTGTGTGTGACCTCTCAGAGCATGCACCTCGTGATAAGGGTTCAAAGGACCTCCATTATGTTGCATTGACGCTTCTTGAGTTATATTCCTGGGACTGGGCCAATTTCTCCTACACCTTTGAGTTGTTGCATTGTCATCGCTAGACTTTATATTTTCAAGGCATACAAGGAACTCCCTGAGGTGGTGGAGCTTTGTCCATTGAATCCCCTCGTACCTTCTTCATGGATTTGTCTGTTCTTTATTAATGAAACGATTGTGTGGGCCTTCTTCAAACAGTTGAAGTATAGATAGCCTGATCCTTTGGAGTATTTAACGAGGAGTCTTCTTACTCTTGTGAAGTCCAACGATGAGCAAGAACTTGGCCATGTTTTTGGTGTTTTCTTCATAAGCTAAGCACGTTGAAAAAAGAAATCACGTAGTGGTCTTGGACGAGTGCCAAGTGGTGGCAAATTTGTTGGAGGACAGGTTTTTGAGTGTTACCACACAGACTCAGGGCCATTCGATGCTTGACATGCTACTGTTCACTCTATATGAAATCGGTTTTGACAGCGAAGTTATTATATCAGGCACTGGCAGACATCCCTTTCTGAAGGCTACAAGGCGATCAAAATCGAAGTCGGAGGTATCTGCAATCAGGTCCTCCGTATACCTTTTGAGTTTGCCAGCACTTCTAGACTCCCTGAATCCAGTGAAGTTGAAATAACTCAACCTATTCTTTGCCCTTGTCACCTGGGGCAGGTATGGGTTCTATGTTACAGCTCTGCAAATTTTTTTAGAAGAGACTGAGAAAGAGCTTTCTCAGACTCTCTTCTCAATTGACAAGAAAATCAAAACAAGGGAAATTGAGACAGCTCTGGTGCTGTCAAAAATTGCGGCACACACCAGCCTTGTCTTGCTCAACTGCATCCGACTTGGAGAATCAGGCTATGACATCTTGGCAGTCTCTTCTCTATAAGTTCGGCTGTAAATCCCTAGTGATTATCCCCGTAGAAGTCTTTCCTTGTGAAGCTCTAGAATCAAAGTTCGTTGTCTAACTGTGCTGGATTCCTCCAAAACCAGTGGTTTCTCGTCTCCTGAGAAGCATTTTTCCGCATCGATGATGGAACAACTGCCGTGTTGTGTCCCTGCCAACTGCGGTATGGCCAACCCCCACCGTGGTACCCAGGCGCCCAAGGAGGCCCGATAATCTTTTGTCTAACACTGCCACAAGCTATTCTAAAGATGATCGAGGCGGGTGCTTGATCACTGATGTTATGGACTAAGCTTGTAAGAACTCTCGATTTTAATGAGGACCTCGACAATTCAAAGTTTTTTGTAGCTTTGCTTGCTCGCTTGCTTGTACCTTCTTTGGCTTCAGCATCATTGCCGTGAGCCTTGCTTCTTTCTGGCTGCCGCTTCCACCATATACACGTCTGTGTTCCTCTCTGTCGAGAGAAACCAAAGCTTGTTTAGTCATCAAGAACCGCTTGAAAGACACGATGGCTGGATCCTCAAGGATCCCTGGAATCTAGTGACGAGCTCACGTCCCAGGCTCGAAACACAAACATCCGCTCCTGGGCACTTGGGCGACGACCAACAACATCCTTCACCACCCTCCAGCTTATAGTACCGTGGTAAGGCTCCGTGTTCCCGGTGCAAAAGAATACGAGCTGCTTCGCCACCGCCGGGTACTCGTCGTCCTCCCTCTTATCTAAGCAAAGTCGCACAAAGTCTCGAAAGCTCTCCAGCATCGCCGGCTCCAGCTGACCATTGCCACGATCAAACACCACGGGCGATTGGGCTGTGGATGTGATAATTTGATAATGGGCATTCTACGTCTTGATCCCAGGAAGAGATGGACACTAGATCAAGTGATCAAGCATCCTTGGATTTTGGACAGTTCTCCAAGATCCAAAGAAGGTGTCCGATTTGGACAGTTTTGGAGAACTGTCCAAAATCCAAAGAAGCTACAGCTAAGACCAGAAGGTGGTAAGAAACAAAATCTATAATTTTAACGTGAGCATATTAAAGGTAAAATACTATAAACATGTTTATAATTTAAACATTGGATGTAAAATTTCAACTAAAATAAAAATAATAAAAAATCTAAAAGATGGCGTCAGTGTTAAACTTAAATATGTTTTAAGCTTATAACAACGATGGAGGAATTAGGGTTCCTTGGCGATAGTGATGCTCCAGCGAGAGAAAGGGGGGCGATATCGCCAAGCCTTCGATCTCTCATCGATGCGCCGGGAAGAAGGATGATTCGCAGCAGCCGCAGTTTCCTCTCGGCCCTGATTTGGTCCCTGGCGGCATGGATTCTCGTCATGCAGCTCTACATGGCGTTCTTCCCGCCCCAGCTCGTGCTCTTCGACGATCCTCGCTCGCACAGGCGCGGCGGCGGGAGCTTCGTCAGGACGGAGGAGCGGATGATGCGATCGCTGGGCGGCGGCGAGGGGAGGTACGAGAATCTCACAATGCTGGAGAAGGAAGAAATTTTCAAGGCTTCTTCCGCGAGGAATGTGTCCGATTTTCCAGACATTGGCCTCGTTCTAGATCCTGTCAATGCTCCAGCGCAGGATAGGAATTTTTTTTTCCCAGGAAGGCACTGGCTCGACTCCAGCGGGAATTCCATTCAAGCACATGGTGGAGGAATTCTTTATGTTCCAAGCACTGGAATTTTTTATTGGTATGGTGAGAACAAGGATGGACCTACATACTACGCTCCCACGGAATACGAGTCTCTAGCCAGAGTAAGCATCTCTCTCTTTCTTTTTTCGTTAGATCTAGCTCTCGAGTGAGAAAAACTTTCTAGATCGAGAGAGTTTCCTTTCGTACAAAGATGGACTGATAGTTTCTTTTTTAATGAAAACTCACAGGTTGATCTCATTGGAGTGAGTTGCTACTCCTCCAAAGATCTCTGGCTCTGGAAGTACGAGGGACTCGTTCTCGAAGGTGACAAGGAAGACGAGAGCAGTGACTTATACTACAAGAACGTTTTGGAGAGGCCGAAAGTTATCTACAACGAACGAAGCCAGCAGTACGTGATGTGGCTACACATTGACAGTGCAAACTACACCAAAGCTTCGCTGGGTGTCGCTGTAAGTTCTCGACCGGAGGGGCCGTTTGAGTTCTTGGGAAGCAAGCAGCCTCACGCTTTCGAGAGCAGGGACATGACAGTGTTTAAGGACGAAGATGGCACGGCTTACGTCGTTTACTCCTCGGAAGGGAACAGTGCTCTACACATCACTCCGCTGCAAGACGACTATCTCGAGTTCCGGAACGTCATGTCGAGGGTGTTTGTGGATCAACACAGGGAAGCTCCAGCAGTTTTCAAGCATCGCGGGATTTACTACATGGTCACCTCCGATTGTACAGGATGGGCTCCAAACACAGCTTTGGTTCATGTAGCGGAGAACATGCTGGGACCTTGGGAAACTGCCGGGAATCCATGCGTGGGTGGAACGTCGTGGTTTAGATCGACGACTTTCTTCTCGCAGGGAAGTTTTGTTCTTCCGTTGCCTGGGCTTCCCAACACTTTCCTCTTCATGGCGGATAGGTGGAACTCTACAGAGTTGCGGCACTCGAGATATGTTTGGTTGCCACTTACGGTGGATGGACCGGTTGACGAGCCAGTGGAAGGCTTGTTTGAGTTCCCGTTTTGGTGGAGGGTCTCCATACGATGGTACTCGAGATGGAAGCTGCCGGTGGATTGGGAGAAGAACAAACCGTGACAGGGTCTCCATGTAGGGTTTATATATGGAGGAAAGGCAAGCGCAGGTGGAGAAAAATGCGAACGAATGAGGTGGGTCTTTTTGAAGGGGATCTTCAGGGCCTTCCACACCAAAAGAACTCCTCCGCCATCGTCACAGCTCGAGCTGACGACGAAGAAGAACAGCCGCGATGCGAAAGAGGTGCTCGAGAATTACGACAGTTTGAAGAAGCAGGGAGTGAAGCCCAGCATTTCTCTCATTGTCTCGGCATTGAAGGCATGCAGCGGTTTGAAAGACTTGAAGAAGGGCATGAGGATCCATTCGGAGATCATAAGCAGTGGTAACGATGGAAACATCTTCGTTCAGAGCACACTCGTGGACATGTATTCCAAGTGTGGAAGCATGGCTGATGCCCGGCGGGTTTTCAACTCCATGTGTCATCCCAACGTTGTATCCTGGACGGTGATCATCTCGGGGTACGTTCAGTGTGGAGAGCCGGAGACTTCTCTCAAGCTTTTCGAGCTCATGCAGGAGAAAGGTGTGTCGCCTAACGAGCGAACATACGTTGCTGCGATCAGAGCCTGCTCTAGCCTTGGTACTCGAGAGGACGGAAAACAGGCTGATGGGAAAGTCACAAAGGCTGCTAGCTTGGAGACAGGCCGGTTGATACATTCCCAGCTTGCGAGCAAAGGCTACGAGCGTGACGCTTTTGTTGCGAGCTCTCTCGTGGATATGTACTCCAAGTGTGGAAGTATGGAGGATGCACGGAATGTCTTCGACAAGATGACAAGGTGGGACTTGATATCGTGGACTGCAGTGATTTTGGGCTATTCTCGAAGCGGTGATGGAGGACAGGCTCTGGATTTATTCTCGAGGATGCAAGACGAAGGCTTTGTGCCAGATCCTCGAACGTTTCTGGCTGCTATCAACGCATGCACTAGCCTTGCGGCCAAGGAAGTGGGGAAACAGGTTCAAGGAAAGCTCGTGAAAGTCGAGTGTTTGGCTAGAGGCACTACCATCCATTCTCAGCTTTCAAAATTTGGACATGACCGGTCTGATCTATTCGTGGCGAGTGGCTTGGTGGACATGTACGCTAAGTGTGGCAGCATGGTGGATTCCCGGCGAGTTTTCGAGGCGATGAAGCAGCGTAGCCTGGTGTCATGGACTTCGATCATACTTGGCTACGCTCAGAGTGGAGAGCAACCAGAGCTGGCTCTCGATTTGTTTACTCGGATGCAAGCGGAAGGTTTTCAGCCCAATGCTCGGACTTTCGTCGCTGCTTTGAAGGCCTGCTCAAGCTTGGGTGACAACAAAGAAGGCGAGAAACAGGCTACAGCGCTAGCGAAAGGACGACAAATTCACTTGCAGCTCTCAAAGCACGGGTACGAATCTGATACATTCGTCTCTAACTCTCTCGTGGATATGTATGCAAAGTGTGGAAGCATGACCGAGGCCCGTCAGGTTTTCGAAGGCATGAAAAGCCATACAGCGGTATCATGGAACGCGATCATCATGGGCTACGCTCAAGCTGGCGAAGGCGAGCAGGCTCTAGAGCTCTTCTCACGCATGAAAGAGAAGGGATTCGTGCCTGATGTTCCAACGTACGTCTCGGCACTCAAGGCTTGCAGCAGCCTGGCGGCTCTCGAGTCCGGAAGGAGAATCCACGACGAGCTCAGCAGTGCTGGATACGGAAAAGATGACATGGTGGTCAACTCGCTGATCAGTCTCTACGGCAAGTGTGGCAGCCTGGTGGAAGCTCAGCAGGTGTTTGATTCAACGTCCAAGCGGGATTTGATAAGCTGGAGCGCGTTGATAGCAGGATATGGCTACCAGGGTGACACAAAGCAGGCTTTTGATCTCTTCGAGAGGATGCAAAACGAGGAACGCCTCCAGCCGGACGGTGTAACTTTCCTGTCGATCCTCACGGCTTGCAGCCACGCCGGGCTCGTGGACAGAGGCAAGGAATACTTCCAGGCGATGTGCTCTGACTACGTGATAACTCCCAGCATCGAGCACTACACTTGCATGGTCGACTTGCTGGGCCGGGCCAACCATCTCGACGACGCGGTAGCGATGGTGCGAGGCATGCCTTACGAGCCAAACTCGACCGTGTGGATGACGCTGCTGGGGGCTTGCCGGAAGTGGAAGAACGCAAAGATTGGAAAGGTGGCGTTTGAGTCGCTGGTGAGGATCGACGAGAAAGATGGCGCGGCGTACGTTCTCATGGCGGACACTTACGCGAGCCTCGGGTTGTGGGAGGAGAGCGCGAGAGTAAACGCGATGAGGAGGAATGCGAAGGCTTGGAAGAAGCAGGGACAGAGCTGGTGGGTCGATCGTGCCGGGAAGATCCACAGGTTTGGAGCTGGAGACTCGACGCATCCACAGATCGAGGAGATTCGCGCGAGGATGAGAGAAGTGGTGGCTCGGATCAAGGAAGAAGGCTACGTTCCCGACGTGAGCAGTGTGCTGTATAACATCAGCGACGAGGACAAGGAGGCTGCGCTGTGTGGACACAGCGAGAAGCTGGCCATCGGGTGTGCGCTCGTCAACTCGGCTCCAGGGACGAGCGTGAGGATCGCCAAGAACTTGCGAGTTTGCGAGGATTGTCACAAGGCCACGGAGGTTATATCGAGAGTGGAGCGGCGAGTGGTGGTGTGTAGAGACGCGAACAGGTTCCACGAGTTTAGAGATGGCAAGTGCTCATGTGGTGGATTTTGGTGAGTGGAAAAATGACAAGTTTTTTCACTCTTGTTCACCGTTATGTGTTCTTCTATTGTAGCCAATGCAGTGCTCAATGACAAAAATGAGGAGTTAATCAGAATCCAAATATGTTCGATTCCGATTGACAATCAACTCAAGAACATCAAGTTGAGATATCCTCTTCTTCTTTACATATGTTCTTCTTTTTTTAAAAATAAAGGATCTTATCTCATTTATTTTTTCAAGTTTGTCAGGAAATCTGAGAGCCTGTTTCCAAAGGATCACGTTAGAGCTCAAGAACAAGGAGATCCACCTGTTTCACCTGATATTTTTTGCAATTACAGTGGTTCCATCCGCGGCTCCCAGGTGCCGGAGCTTCACTTCTTCCTTTGTACCATCACCATAAGCGTGCTGCGAAATCAATCCACACAAACTTAGCTCGATGGAAACTTAACGAAGAACAAAACTTTACCCTGTAGAAGCAGCTAGTTCCAAACGGACAAGTGCTATTTCCATATTCAAAATACTTACAGTCGATCGAACTAGCAGCGAGAAAAACGAAGTAAGTTACTTGGAAACCAAGATCAAGAAAGAAAACGATAGACATACCTGAGCTTGTTCTTGTATCCGTTTACAATCTCTTCCTTTTCCTCCGTGTTGGAATACCAAACAACGCTGGGAATCACGTAATGCGATGAAACTCGGCAAATCGGACAAGCTCGAACGATGGTTTCCAGATCCATGCCGGGGCGAGTGCCACCTCTCCAATCTCGTATACACGCGATGCAAAACGGATGATCACACCCGGACAAGATCCCAAACTTCCGGTCGGACATGGAAGGCTTGGACAGAACACGCTCCAAACAAACGCTACACTCGATGTCCTGGCTCATGCGGAGTAACTCGAGACGCTTCTGGCTACGCACACACTGCTCCCTGTGTTCTTCCCTCTCGGCCTCTCGAAAGGGATGCAAGCAATGCTTACCGCAGCTCTCGCACAGATCGCCATGGAGATTGGAGCACGAGTTTCCATAGGGGCAGTAGCCGGCGGCGGCGAAAGAACAGATGGGACGATCGGCCAGATCCAAGCTTGCGGTGTCTGGAGCTTGGAACTCTTCCCAGGGATCCGGCTCGAAGGTGTCGAAGGTAGCGAGAGATGGCGATGGAGCTGGAGGAGGGACTAGAGGACGCTCTTGCCAGGCGTTTAGAAGAGGTAACTTGGTGGGCGATGGAGCTGGCGGAGAAGTGGCGGTGGCGGCGGTGGAGGTGGTCGCGGAAGAGCTGGGAGCTTGCGAAAAATTTGTTTTTGGAGATGGATGATCTTCGGTGGAAGATGGAGATGGAGCGGGATTAAACGGTGGAACAAATGGAAGCTTTGGGCGAGGGAGTCTTACGTGCTCGTAGCGGCAGCGGCTGCCATAGGAGCAAACACCGCGCTGGTAAAACGTACAAATCTGCGAGGAAAAACGCCCGAGAAAAAAGCAAGAACAAATGGAATTGGGGATCGAACAAAAAGAGCTTACGTTGCTGGATGGATCGTCGAAGCTGTGGGAGAATTGGCAGGAATCGCCCTTGAGGCACGCGCCGTGGAGATAATACTTGCAGAGAATTCTACATTGGATCAATCAATTAGCTGGAAAAACGAGAGATTTCTTCTGGGCGGGGCGCGCACCTGTGCTGCGGCATCACCGCGACGAAGAACCCTACGACCTAATTCCCTAAAGGTAAAAAGTATTAACCACTTATAGACTATAGTGCTGGATTTCGATACAAATCCTTTATATGATGAATAAGTGTATGTTGGGTATAATTATATACCACATCATCTTCTACCTTTAACATCTCTTTGGGATGAGATTGCTTTTTCAACACTCCTTTATTGTTTTATGAGTTCCAGGCCTTTCTAAACGCTACTCTTCCAAGCTGAGAGAGGCAGCGAGGAAGTCAAACGCCATGTATTAGTTATATGGACGTCGCTGTACCTCTCTCCCTTGACGGAATCAACCGAAACTACGCTCTCGACCTCGTCCATATCTTCCTTGGAGAGAGTGACTCGGAGGGAAGCTCGGTTCTCTTCGAAGTTTTGGAGCTTAGTAGTGCCTGGAATGGGAACAACGTCGTCGCCTTGGTGTTGGACCCAGGTAAGAGCAAGCTGCCCGGGACTGCACTTCTTCCCCGCAGCTATCTTGCAGAGCTTCTCGTACAAAATCTTGTTGTGCGCCAAGTTCTCTCCCTGGAACCTCGGAACCGTCTGTATCAAATAGACAAGCGCTTTAGAACTTTACAAGCTTCTTGCAAGAACAGTACTTTGCGGAAATCGTCATCGCCAATCTCTTCCACCACAGCCTTCCCTGAGAAGAAGCCTCGTCCGAGTGGACTATAGCTAACAATGCCAATCCCGAGCTCCCTGATTTTTACAAGAAAGACCATCTCAATGAATGAAGCAGGAGAAGTTACCTGCAAGTTGGAATGATCTCCTCCTCGACATCTCGGGTCCAAAGAGACCACTCGATCTGAACAGCGGTGATGGGATGAACCGAATGAGCTCGACGAATATCAGCGGCTGATGCTTCCGAGAGCCCCAAGTACTTCACCTTTCCCTCCTTGACGAGCTCTTTCATCGCTCCCACCTTCACGGAGCAATCGATATAATTCACCATGAACGGACACAAAGTTCTATACAACTCTTACTGTGATTTCGATTGGAACTTTGGGATCGACCCGGTGCTGATAGTAGAGATCAATGCAGTCGATCTCGAGCCTCTTCAAGCTGGCCTCGCAAGCAGCACGAACATGAGCCGGATCCCCCCGAATTGTGACATTGCTGCTCCAGTTTTCATGGTCGAAAGCTATTGCAAACTTGGTTGCGATTTGGACCTTGTCACGAATTCCTTTGATCGCCTGCCACGAATTAGTGAGAACTTCCATACACTTTCATCGATTGCGCTTACCTTTCCGACGAGGATCTCGTTGGTATACGGTCCATAGACATCAGAAGTGTCGAGAAAAGTGACCCCCGATTCAACAGCCTTGCGGATGAGATCAATCATCTCCGGCTCAGGCTTTTGAGGGCCGTAACCATTGATGGACATTCCCATGCACCCCAATCCCTGCTTTGAGACTTCTAGGCCTTGAGAGCCAAGCTTCACCTTTGGAACTTCCATAGCCATGATGTATACTTGAGATTTGTGATCATATCGCTTACATATATATACCGCTTTGATCTCGTAGGGTTTCGCATTCGCTTCCTTTGCACCTTCCTCGAAAACGCATGATCTTAAGTTAAGGAAATTAATAATATAGAACGACCTCAAAGTCAAGCCTTTTAGAGAAACTTCAAACTGATGAGATATATATGTGACCCTCACACTATCAATAATTTAGTGAAATCTTTGGAGTCTAAAAGTGTGCTTCGAAGTAACTGTGATGCATGACTGGCTTAGTCTAGTCTCACGAGAAGTCGTCTCATCTATCAAAATATCAAACTCATCTTGATTAAAACTAGAAAAACTGGGACAACTGGCCAGATCCAAGCTTGCAGTATCTGAAATAAACAAGAGAGCGAACCCTAGGCCAACCTCTCAACCGTTAAGGCGTTACGGCCTTAAATCCCACAGGCCATGGAATATTCTCAGAATATTCCCATGGTTCGTGTCCCCTCATGACCCAGCCACATACGGCAGCCTCGAGAAGCTAAACGAGCCTCACATGAAGGGAGTCCAAGGCAATACGGCCATGGAGAAAAGATGTGCAAACGGCAACACCAACATTGTGACAAACGGCCACAAAAGAAAGAAAGCAATACGGCTTTCTCACATGACAATACAGTCATGGAAACAAGAGAATGAGAATAGAACAAACGGCTTAAATCATATAGTAATACGGTTATAGAACTCAATTCTCCCCTTCTTTAGGAATGTCATCCAAGTCATAACCAAAACTCGGAAACACTCTCTTCACGTCATCCTTAGTTTCCCATGTAGCTTCGTCCATGGAATAACCATTCCATTGAACTAACAACTCCTTAGTTGTTTTCCGGCGTGTTTTCACCAATCTTTGAGCAAGAATATTGGCCGGACCAGCCTTCTCTGCATCAATCTCTGGAACCTGGATGATGGACTGATCCACAATATCACCAGAGTGCAAACACGCTTTAAGCTTGCTCACATGGAACGTTGGATGAATCTTCAAACTAACTGGCAAGTCCAAAGTGTATGCAAGATCCCCTACACGCTGTAAAATTCTCCAAGGTCCACAATACCGTGGAGACAACTTAGCACTGCCACCTCCTTTTAGAGACCGTTGTGCATCTGATAGCTTAAAGAAAACCTTGTGTGAGACACAAAATCCCTAGGCCCCAAAGTGGAGCCGGAAGGGCGCCACATAGTAGTGGCCGAAGCGAGAGCCAAACGAGCGTAACACGTTTGGACCAAAAGCTCCGACTTGAAAAGTCAAGAGCGGGAGTGGAACTCCCAACGAAGTGCCCAAGGAACGAGCACGAAGCGAGCAAAAGGCGAGGCTCCAAAAAGGGACCCAAAAGGACCAACACATGACACGTGGGAGTGTCCGAGATGGACTCGAGTTGGAGTCCGAAGTGGAGTCCGAAATGGACTCGAGTTGGAGTCCGAAGTGGAGTCCGAGATGGACTCGAGTTGGAGTCCGAAGTGGAGTCCGAGATGGACTCGAGTTGGAGTCCGAAGTGGAGTCCGAGATGGACCCGAGTTGGAGTCCGAAGTGGAGTCCGAGGTGGACCCGAGATGGACCCGAGTTGGAGTCCGAGATGGAGTCCGAGGTGGACCCGAGATGGACCCGAGTTGGAGTCCGAAGTGGAGTCCGAGATGGACCCGAGATGGAGTCCGAGATGGAGTCCGAGATGGAGTCCGAGGTGGACCCGAGATGGACCCGAAATGGAGTCCGAGATGGAGTCCGAGATGGACCCGAGATGGAGTCCGAGATGGAGTCCGAGATGGACCCGAGATGGACCCGAGATGGAGTCCGAGATGGAGTTCGAGATGGAGTCCGAAGTCGAGACCGAGACCGGGACCGAGACCGGGACCGAGACCGAGACCGAGACCGAGATCGGGACCGAGACCGAGACCGAGGCCGAGGCCGAGTCCGAGTCCGAATCTGAGTCCGAGTCCGAGTCCGAGTCCGAGTCTGAGTCCGGAGCCTGAGAGGGTGAAAGCCCAAAGCGTTCGTCTCCCAGACCCTGGGGGGTTTGGTGAGCTCCAAAAGTATAGTAGGGGGAGGACTGCAGTGGAGCCAGTTTGGCCAGGAAAGGCCAGTTTGGCCCAGGAAGGGCCAGACCCAGTGTTGGGTGATGAACTGACCACTGGGAAGTCCAAGACTGGAGTGAATACGGACCGACAAGCGGGGTAGCTTGGTGAAGTGTTCAAGAGCCGGCTCTAGTTCCCCCGGGAGATCGACTGGCCGATGCTCCCAGTCCAAGTGTGGGTGGCACTACCTACTTGGATACCAGGCGTGGCTCAACGAAACCTCGCTCTAAGCCCATGGCTAGAGCACCTAAAGGCGAAAGGCGGGGAGAGTACCCTGGTGGCTCGCGTAAGGCCACGGTGTTCCGAAATGTTGTCCCAAAGGCCTAGACTGTGGAAAGGAAGAGGAGCAGTCCTCTGGGGTAGTGACCAAGGACACAGTCGTGTGGTGAGGAAGTCCCAGAGGACCATGGGACTTAGTGGTCGGGCCTGTGGGCCTCGACCCAGTGGCAGTGTTGGCAAACACGGCCAGGGGCAGAAAGGGACTTGGTAGGAACTGACAAAGGGACTTTGGGGAAGGCGATTCCCCAGGTCTGTGGGCATCCCAAGGATGCTAAGGAGTGGATCTAGGATGACCACTCGTGGACAGATGGCCCAGTCTTGGAGAGCCAAGACTGTGATGCAAGTGGTATTGGACTACCAGTGTGGCAAAGGTGATTGGGCATGGCCTTAGCGTAACGGGCGGCTATGTCGGTGGTACCTTTGAGTGTCGGTCATGGGATCGGACACGTGGAGCACTTGGACCAAGTGCAAATGTTGAGTGGCATGGATGCCATTCTCGGGGCTAGCAAGTCCCAAGTCCTGGATTGGACTTATGGAGGTTGTGAATGAGACTCCTCCAAGTGGTCAGAGGTGTGGTTAAGTGACTAAAGTAGAATGGAAAAATTAGTCACTTACACCTTGTCACCAACTTTGTACTCTTGATGATGATGATGCTCATCAGCCAATCTTTTGTCTCGTTCTTGAGTTTGCCTCATGTTCAATTTTGCCAACTCAAGCTTGTCTTGCATATCCTCCAGGAAATCACAAGCATGAGGAACCCGAACCAAAGCTAAATTCAAACTCACAGGAGACCTAGGCTCATAGCCATACATCGCCATAAAAGGAGACATGCCAATAGCCGATTGATGAGCGCTATTGTGAGCAAACTGAAGTAAAGGCAAGTATTTCTCCCATACTCCCTGTCGAGTCAAGTTTCCCACAAAAGACCGTAGCATATCTTCTAATAGCTGATTCATGCGCTCTGTCTGCCCATCAGATTGTGGATGCTCACCACTACTCATGCTCAGCTTAGTCTCTAGCTTCTCAAAGACCATTTGCCAAAACTTGGACGTGAACTTGGGATCCCGATCACTCACAATGTCACCTGGCAAACCATAGAGACTGAATAACCAATCTATAAACAGCTGAGCAAGTTCAGAAGCTTTTATCGTTGTCTTCACAGGGAAGAAGTGAGCCATCTTCGTCAAACGATCCACAACAACCCAAATAGCATCATTTCCTCGAAAGGTTTTGGGCAAACCAGTGATAAAGTCCATCGAGATGCTATCCCACTTATTCTCGGGTACATGTAAAGGATGATGGAGGCTAGCGAGCTTCTGATGATCAACTTTGACCGCCTGGCAGGTCAAACAACCACGTACGTACTTCTCAACATCTGACTTCATCCCAGGCCAAAAGAAATGCCTCTTCACCAACATATACGTTCTCAATACCCCCGGATGCTCAGCACTTGGCATATCATGACACTCAACCAAAATCCGTTTGATGAGTTTGTCAACACAAGGAACCACTACACGTCCCTTCTTCACCAGGATTCCATCTCGTATTTCGAATGACGCAAACTTGTCACCCTTCAAATTCGTAGAGGTGTCCCTCAACAAAACCTTCGTGCAAATATCATTGATGAAGGAGTCGAAGTCAGCAAACTCCTTAAGCTCATCCAAGAAATCGCTAGATAGCTTCACGAATGAGATAGAATTTACCATCCTGGATAACGCATCAGCCACCTTATTGTCACCTCCATGCTTGTACCAGATCTTAACTGACATTTCTTGCAGGAACTTTTGCCAACGAGCAAGGTGGCCTCAAAGATCCACATCTAGAGAGACTGATGATTGGAATCTACATAGAAGTCCGATCTATATAGATAATATTGCCATTCTAGAGTAAGTCAATTCCACTATGTGGCATCAAACTTGTGGCTCATGAATGCGAGACAATGCCTAACTTGAAGCAATATGGCCCCAAAAGCACTATCACTCACATCATTGCCTATAATTTCCACCACAATCACCTTATTATTCATTGACCCTTTCAGAACAATCCTTGCTTTGATGTCCAACTCTATGGCAACAAAAACAATTGCCCTCCGCCTTATCCTTCTCTCGCTGGTCCAAACAAAGTTTCTTAGCCTCACTACCATCTTCATGCTTCGAGCCATAACAAAACAATAGTTGTTTCTTCCCCGAATATGAAGCATTGGCGAGCTGGTCATCACGTTGACTACTCCGTAGACCATCTCGTCGACCAGAGTTGACCGAGTTGACTGACAGTTCGGGCGAAAAGATCTGAGCCTTAGTGATAGCATCAGTCAATGTTGCTGGAAAATCCTTCTTGACCTTTTGCTACACATCCACCGAGCTCAATCCTTTGATAAAACATTGCACCTTTAGTAGCTCATTATAGGTGCCTGTGAGACTAAGGCAAAGATCATGGAACTTGCAGACATACGCATCCAAAGACAGAGTCCCTTGCCGGATCTCTAACAACTGATTCACAAGATCAACTTCTTCAAACTTCTTGACAAATGAAGTGCAGAAAACCTTTGTCAAATTAGTCCAAGAAGTCGGCTTCGGATTAGCTTTGATGTAGTTCTTCCACCACGAAGAAGCATGGCCCGTAAGCTTCGTCACAAAGAAATCTATCTTCACCTTAT